GCGGGCACCAGAGCGCCGCTCGCGCGCTGAGACGAGATGGTTAGCGGCAGCTTTGTTCACTCTGTGCGCTGTCAGTGTGAGAAATGTGCGGTTGCGGAGATGAACAGCTGATGCATTGTCTGTTTTTCTTAGTTAGATGATGGGGACGGGGGTTGGGGGGGGACCATTTTTGATGTAACACCTGAGAGAATTAAAGGATTTATGGAGAATTAATGTAAAGAATCTTTCAACAGGAACAATTATTTTGTCGTTGCAATTCAAAGGAGCAGTGTGAAGGATTAAGGGGGATTTATTGGCAGAAAATGACTATATGTAGAAGTTTTCATTCATGTATAATCACATGAAACGAACAGCCTGGATACCTTAGAATGAGTCTTTTGTGCCCATATACAGAACAACGTCTTAGGAGTCCGCCATGTTTTCTACAGCAGCCCCGAGCGGACAAACCAGACGCTGGCTTGAGAGAAGCCCTCTGCTGTCTTTGTGACCTCAACCGTAGTTCTGTGGGTGATGGGGAAAGGCAGGAGCGGCCGTTATAAGCAATTTTCTGTCTGATTTAATTTTCTCCCTATTCAACAAAACGTGATACGCGAATGAGAGTCTTTAGAGTTTGTTAAAGCTGCTATGATCAGTGTTTTTACATGCAGTAGCTACATGTAGGGGAAAGGTGTCGCTGGTTGTGATGAAGCCAAAAAGAAGGATCTGTGAGGAACGTTCTGAAGCTGAACTGAAGCTCCACCACTGCTGCCTCAAAAGCACCAAATCTTTTTGTTTTTTTTCTTTTAAACTGTGAACTAACTGCATTATTTCCCATCAGTCTAACGAGCTCCACCCGCAACTGAATGGAGCAAAACGTCGGCTGCTCAAGTTGATGTTTATTAAACTCTAAACAGCGTTTGTTACGTAACTTCCTTTTAGGTGGTAGGACTAAAAATGATTCAAAATGAAACGGTTTGAAAAACCTTTCTCATGCATATCCGATTATTTCCTTCAACAACAATAGGATGGGCCCCGGAGGAGTGCTCATAGGGGCACGGCGAAGAAAAAGGGCCTGAGCTCGGTCTTAATCCAACAGCCCGAGTGGGACACAGTGGGAGCGCTGCCGGAGCTTGAAAAGTGGAGCAGAGGGACATCTCCCCCCCCCCCCACAGTACGCTCTTCTGAATATTGTCGACTTGTCGCTTCCTCTCTGAGATTTCAGGGTATTTAAGCGCTTAAGAGCTTACGGGTCAAAGCTAGAGATTGGATTAATTTAGATTAGACGAGTCTGTGGTTGGTGAATAAGGACCACCGGAGTATTTGATCAAATCCCTCAAACTGCCCCATGTCTGATGGTGCATATCAGACCTTGTACCATCTGTGGTTGCAGTGAGTTGTAAAGGAGTAACAACATGTATTTCCCAGCTTTGAGCTGAGGATGTGAGGGCTCACATACATGCACATGCAGCTGAAACGTTAGACCCTCACACAGAAAGGAAGCGGACACATTAGTGGTGCTTGGCCAGTGCGTAGCACCAGCTCGGTAATATGATCGGGTAATAAGTGCATTATTGCATGCCTCCAGTGTGATTTATGAAGGGAGATGTTTTCTATTTTTATCTCCACAAGCATGGCAGCAACGAACACCACATCATTTTTCAGTTTGAAAGTCAGCAATTATCCCGCGTGTGACATTGAGTCTTTCATCGGGACGGTTTCGGGACGGATGTGGAATTCCTGTGGCCGCCGCCGAGCTTTCAGAGGCAGCAAAGCAGTTTGGAAGCCTCACGGAGAGAAAAAGCATTATCCGTCAGGTGAACGTTTCCGTGTAGAAATAATTCGGCGTGAGGTTTCTGTCTGCGGTGTGCAGAAGGGTGAAGGCAGTGCGCTCCGGTCGGGTCCAGTGGACTGAGCGGCTATTAAGGACGCCTTTTTGGTTAGTCCTGAGGCGGAGCCTCCTCGTCCGGGAGCAGCTGATCTATGACAGACCTCCGCACGGGGCGGGCGGGGAAAGGCTCAGTCGACAGAAGGAAATGTCCTGGGAGTTTCTGTGAGAATAAAAGAAAAGGGATTGATTTTTTTTTTTCCCTCAATCAAGGAAGTCCAAAAGGTATTGGAAAGTGCTCTGACTTATGTGTGGCGATTCCTAATGATGTGAGGGACTTTTTAAAAACCTATTGCACTGAGTTTATGACCGATTTAAGAGCCATTTTGTGCCGTGAATACTGACAGATTTTGAAGATTCCCTCTTTTTCATTGTCACAGAAGCAAATGACGATTCCTAAACAATAAATCCTGTAAGAAAGAAATAATTTCCTCATGGTGAAAGTATTTCTAATGGACTTCTATACAATACGACCCAAGGAGCCAATCTCAAATAGCCATCAGAATAAATGCGAGGTTAAGGCACGTCTTCATCGGCATCACTTTTCAGACTCATTCGTTTCTTAACATCATATTTAATTTCAGACAATAGATCCTCCTGAACACTACATGCGTCTATGGAGTGCATAAAGTACACTACACCACAATGTGCAATGTTATACGGTACAGTACTTTATTCAAGCACTATAATAATAATCCTGCACTTTCTATTGAGTCAGATCCGCCGTTTTTATAAATACCCTCTTTCTCACCCCTCTGTCCGGCCTCTCGGAGGCTCATTTTGGACCTATGGGAAAGAAACCAACCGATATCAGCAGAAGCACGCTGCTCGATGTGCGCCAGGATAATAAAGCAACTCACACAACCTGATGGCAGTTGATGTTTGCAAGTGGACTTAACACACTACAGAGAGTAGGATATTTTGTATCAGGAATCTGGAACATTTATTATCTAAATATGCTAGACATACAAGGAATCTGGCTTGGCGGTCAAACTACGGGCCTCTCCCTACGGCGGAGACAGACGGGGACAGAAAACAGCGATCTTATGGTGAGCCGGCGCCCACAGGCATACCGAGAAATGGGACCTGTCAGTTTTTCCGAAGGATGTCCACTCGGCGTCTGTCGCACGTGTTTCAGGATGACACGCGGGGCAAGAGGCCTTTAAACGTGTTCAAGCTGCAGCTCAGCGTCTGCAGGCCAACATCAACTGGCAAATCCATTGGGGAAAAAAAAACAACCAAAAAAAACAATGGAGGACTGAGCCGTGTGAATCCACTGGACTACTTGAACACAGGATCTTTTAGTTTCTTTATTAGTGGGCTCGGGGAGGCCAGCGTTTGGGGCTGCTTTGAGGCGTGGAGTTGGCCAAACCCTTTTCAGCTATTCGCTGCTTTTGGGCAGCAAGAGGTTGTATTACTATGTTTAAAAAAAAAAAAAAAAGTCTTTTTGTGGTACACGCTGTTTTCTATTGGCTTACTTCTGTTTGGATACCGGTTGCCAAGAGAGATCTTTCATCGAGCCACTCGCATTAAACCGCCATCAGTGAGAGAAAGCTCACAGGCCACCGTACACGCCGGGAATAGTTGTTTTTCGCTCCGCTGATTGACCTGACCTGACTCATTTTTCCCTTTTTATTTATCTATCTATCTATCCATCCATCTATCTATCTATCTATCTATCTATGGAAGCATGTGCTTCTTTTTAGTTACTACTGCCTACTACTATTTTCCCTCTGTCTTTCTTCCCTCATGCTTACTTATTCAATGACAGCAGTCTATTCTGTAGCTATTATGTTCTAACAATAATCAAGATGGATGCGACTGTGTTTCTCTTCAGCACAATCAAAAAGAGTCTTTCATTCACGTGCAGCTGCCGGCTCGGTCCTCTCACCCTCCTAATAACAGGAAAGTCTGACTCGCAGCCCCCTTCCCCCCCTTTTTTTTCAGATACAGATAGAAAGATGGCAAAGCTAGATGGATATGTGCCTTTAGTGTGTGGGCACAAGCACCTGATGCACAGCAAATATGCAGGCTCCACCACTTCTTTATAACCTTCCCTCCACATTACTTCTGTGCTCCTAATGGCTCTTAAATTGTGTTTTTTGGGGGATACGGTTTCTCCGCAGTGTGGTTTCTTTTTTTTTCTTTCTCCGCCAGCCTCTCTGCTTTGTAAATCAGCGGCTCTCGCAGCGGAGCTGGACTCTGTCACGTTAATGTAGTTGTTAACAGCCTGTGGTCAGCGGGCGGTTTGTGTGGCCGTGCAGTCTGAGCTGACGCGCTCGGCAGAGAGAGCGGAGGCCCCACGTGGAAGCTCCGGATCCTGAAAGCGAGCAGCCGGAGAGGGACGCTGTCACACTCGTGCATCTGCATCGCTGCCTTCCCTGACGTGTTTAGATGAAGAACTCCTTAAAACTACCTCGTTCCAATTATTTTCATTGTGATACATCTTGTTTTATTAGTTAATATTGGTATTTTTTTGTGACCGCCTTTCTCTTTTCGGGTTTTATTTTTTTACTCTAACATACAATGTGATACAATGCTTTATAACCACTAACAATGCGTCATGCACTTCTGCTGATATAATGTATTCTTCTAGTTATACAAACGTCTTCATAAGATGATTCATAAAGTACTATAATTATGGGAGAATCATACAACTATTATTTCCCAAGCATTTTCTTTCTTGCAGATAAATTATAGATATTTTTCATTTTCTAACAATCTCTCAAAAATTGCTTTTGGTTCATCCAATTATGCGTCATCATTCTTGTTGGATTTATCGCAGCAATTTCCCTCAAACTCTACTTATCCTCATGCTCTGTGTCAGTTCAACGTCTCGTAGTGGGACTTTTGGCTGAGCAGGGTGTTATTAAGAGTCCAGTAAACATGTCCCCCTGCACACGGCGTGATGATTCTGTCTAATGAGCTGTGGGTGTTTGACAAAGTGAAGAGGACACTGACTCTCTGCGCACATCTCTGAATCCCCGCTCCTCAGCTGTCCAATGTCTGTTCTGTAAATGACTTTGGCTTTTCTGTACACAACTCAACGTAAGACCGTAACTCTGTAAGTGTGTGAGTGAGTGCGTGTGGTTCAGGTCTGCTAAATCCACTCCGTCTGTGTCTCTCATCTCTGCAGGAGTCGGAAGATCCAGATCCGGAACATTCCCCCTCATCTACAGTGGGAGGTCAGTTGTGTGTGTGTGTGTGTGTGTGTGTGTGTGTGTGTGTGTGTGTGTGTGTGTGTGTGTGTGTGTGTGTGTGTGTGTGTGTGTGTGTGTGTGTGTGTGTGTGTGTGTGTGTGTGATGCCCAGTGAAGCACCAGGTAGCACAGAAACCACAGTCGGCAGACCATGAGTCACCATACTGTGTTCTCTGCAGCCCTGAGTCTCTGGATGCACGCGTACGCTCATGTCTTTGTCAGTGTTTGTTACTCGGTCAATGTGTCTGTGCGTTAATATCTGCAACCGCGCCGCTGTCTAGCTGTGCGCGTCTCCGTTAACAGGCACGCCGATTCCCCCGTTTGTCAGCGCTGCGACTGTATCTGCATTTTTCCGATCACTTAGGAGTATGAAAATATTGACATTAATGTAATCTTTCATTGACAGATATAGAACCATGGCATATATATGTACGTGTAGTGTAAACCCTCCAATACTCCGTTATTGATAAATGGATGGTTTGTCTTTTTACATCAATATCAAGTATAACATAATTTTTACGGTATTTCCTATGTATCATAATTTGGAATGGAACTGAAGAAGACACAGCTAATGAAATGACCTAAAACAGCTTTCAAAGGCACTTTGTCAAATTGTGAAATGCATGTTTGTGTAAATTGGTTGCTAGGAAACAGCCGGAGAGACCTTCAATCACAAATTTTTGTGTAAACTTCTGATTATTCACTACAAATCTTTGGATTGTCAATTTCAGTGTACTTCCACTTGCTACGTAGTTCCTCTATTGACGTGTGTGTGTGTGTGTGTGTGTGTGTGCGTGTGCGCAAGGTGGTTTTCAGCAGCCGTAGTTGCGTGTCTAACCGCCGCTCTCCTCTCTCCCTTAGGTTTTGGACGGCCTTCTGGCGCAGCATGGCACTGTAGAAAATGTGGAACAAGGTACGGACCTCTTGTCCTTCCTGTTTTATTCACATCACATCATCATCCGGCTCAAGCTTGTCAATGCACATTCCTCTATTTAGCAACACACACACACACACACACACACACACACACACAGACCTCCCAGTGAATCAAGTCTCTTGTGTGACTCGACCTCCTTGTTCCCTCCATCCCACACGCCCATCATCTGAGCATAACCCATCGTTGCATGTAAATCAGTCTTTATCATCATGTGCATGTGTGTCATGTAAGTTTGATCCAGAGGAAGCAGCGTTTGATTCGCATAACAAGCACCGCGTATTGGTCTCAGTGTATGGACTGAAGTTGGCAGACATGGCAAAAGTCCAGCGTAAATGTTTCTATATATATATATGTGTATGTGTGTGTGGGTGTCTGAATGTCTGTGTCTGTTTTGTGAAGGTGCTTTGGGGGAGGACAGCGTGAGGCTTTTGCATCTGAGGGAGTTTATTTGTCCCTGTGTGTGCGCTAGTCTACGACTTGGACACGTGTGTGTGTGTGTGGGGACAGCTAAACATTCATAGACTACTCTGCAGACACACACACACACACACACACAGTGTGTCTCTCTGTGTGTCAAAGCAGCCAACTCCAACTACCACCCACTGTAGTCATGACAGGTGCTAAAAGAGAACCCTGCACAGAGATTACTCCTCTCAGAGTTTCCCCAGACGCGGCCCACTTCATCTCGTGCCGTGGCAGACGCCAGCGGAGCGCCAGCCTTCTTTTTTTTTTTTCTTTTTTCAGTCCGGCCCATCGGTGCGTGAGCGACAGCTCGCTCGGTTCCCCCGCGGCGGTCGCTTTTCTGTGTCTCTCCGTCCAACTTCCTGTCCGTTTGTCGCTTCTTCCCTGCCCACCTCTGCGCGCTCTGGCTGCGAGGGGAGGTTTTTGGAGCGCCGGGCTCTTGTGTGGCGTGGCGGAGGCCGCCCGTGGCGAGGGCGGGGCAGGGCAGAGCTGGCTGTGAACGCTGGGGCCGGGCGCCATGCCAGGCTCTGCCCATTCACCCTCACTAAGTCAGCGGGGAACTCTCACCGATTTGAACCCTTCCAAACATGCTGTCCGCAGCGCACTCGAAGGGTTTTGAAGTTTTTTGTTTTCACCGACAGAGAATCCGCATGTGATAAATAATTTTATTTCTACTTCTTTTTAAAAGCAAAACAAAAAATTCCTATGGCATTACTTTATTTTCTGAGAAATCTAAAGCATCTGTAGCGGATGTTTTTGAGCAGGTGGCTTCTTTGTTGATTTTATCATTTTGCCATTTTACCAACGAAGAAGATCCTTCGGTGGCAGAGCACAGATGCCATTGTCTGGTCAGACAGAGGAAGTGCTTTCAAAAAAGCATTTAATATAAAAGGCTCGTGATGTGCCTTTTTTTTTTTTTTGCCACACTACTCCGTTATTGGTTATTGGTAGTACACAGTCAAAGGATATACCATTTATCCTCGCTGGAAAGTCTCCTAAATGTTTGTCATTTTGGCTTGAAAATTGATAAATGATTCTTTATCAAAATAGTTGCGATCAAAAATTGACTCATCGTGAGATTGTTTCAACATTGCATGCGCTGTACGGAGGACACCTCAGTCCACCCACAATGCAATCCGTTAAAGCATGTGTGACCCCCGTGGGAATCAGAGCTCTGAGCAGCACTGCGAAGCCACGAGTCTCCCCTAAGTGTGACCCAGTGGTTGCACTTCATCACCGATAAACCTGCTTCGCTTAGGCCGTCGTGTCCAACTTAAATCTGTTATCCTGCAAATGGCAGCCGAGGCTTTTGTGTGGAGCGTCCGCTGTCCGTAAAGGCAGCTGCTTGGTCTGGAGGGAAGCCAGTGGGGTGATGCCTGCAATGGATTCACACAGTTAAGAGGCTCTTTTGGGGTCACCACGGAAACCTGGGCAATTCGTCTCACTCACCTTCGGCAACAACAATTTGTCTCATGCTTTTTCTTTTCGTTCCACAGTGAACACGGATACAGAAACAGCGGTGGTGAATGTTACGTACGCAACCAAGGAGGAAGCTAAAGAGTAAGCAGAGCCAATAAAGAATCCAAGTCAGCCAAGTGTTTTCACAGACCAGCAGCCTTGTTTACATACTTATCCCTGTACTTTGTTGGGTTAAAAAGTTTATCCACAAGATTTTTTTTTTTAAAGGGCGCCCACAGTGGATTAACGTTAAAAATAACGGAGGTACACACATAGTCACCAGGAAGTTTATCTCAAAAAGTTAGATTCTGTCGTGTTACGTTAAGTATAATATAATAAACAAGTTCTATATTTACAATTAGACCCGTGGTTTTATTGTTCTTGCCTCATACCCCTTATTCCTTCCCCCCTCAGAGCGATCGAGAAGTTAACGGGACACCAGCTGGACGACTACTCTTTCAAGGTGTCATACATCGTGGACATGGAGGCCGCTCCGCCCGACCAGGCTCCCCGCACGCGGCGCGGGGGCCGCTCGTCCCGAGACCAGGGCGGCAGTCAGGCCGGGCCCTCGGGAGACTTCGGCGCCCCGCGTACCAGACAACACGACTTCCCCCTGCGCATGCTTGTGCCTACTCAGTTTGTGGGAGCCATCATTGGCAAGGAGGGCCTCACCATCAAGAACGTCACCAAACAGACGCAGTCCAAGTAAGCTTCATCTGATCAGCTCGTCTGGTGTCTCTCCTGCTTTGTTAAATCATTTTGTAAACTTCTCAAGAGGCTCCGCCCTTTATTTGCAGAGGCTTGAATGAATTGGCCCCTTTTGGCTTTGTTTTTATTGAAGCTCGCCTTTGAAAAACAATAGTCTGAGATTTGATGCAGGAAAGCACACGAGGAAGCTTAAGCTTTAAGTTTCGAGTTTAAACTTTAAAGTGAGTTGTCTCTTTTTAATACCTTACTCAACACACAATGCAAGTGGACTTCACTCCGATTGTCTCCCTCCCTCCCTCAGAGTGGACATCCATCGGAAGGAAAACGCAGGTGCGGCAGAAAAGCCCATCACCATCCACTCTACTCCCGATGGCTGCTCCTCTGCCTGCCGCATGATCCTGGACATCATGCAGAAGGAAGCCAGCGAGACCAAGACGTGAGTCTTTCCCCGTGGTCGCGCACAAACACGCATGAATGCAGCCGCGGACCTGCGTTGCTTATGCAGAGCATGCAAACGCCTCCACGGAGAGATTAGCCATAATGTCTGCAGGGCTGTAATCTTATCCTTTTAACCTGCATGCACACCTTTTAATCTCGCCGTGCATTCTATCGCTTGGCCCACCGGCACAGTAAACACGCTGCACACGACACACTTAGCGTAGGCTAACACGTGATCGCAGCTTAGCATTTGAGAAAACGAGGCCAACTTGTCTAATCGGGCTTCGACAAGACGCTGCCCCTTTCAAAGCCTCAACACGCAGCGTGTGTTTGAAATCTAAGGGCTACATGTCTGAAAAATACCTTTTAAATTCATTGAAACACCAAAGTGTTTTCCACAGTCTTGAATTCTAGGAAACTTTATGCTTAGAGTTGTCAGTTGAAGGCAATTCTTCTTTAGATCTCTCCTGCCAAGTGTTTTGTATCACTTCGGGCTCCTGTTCATTCACACATTATTTCAGCATTGACTCATATCTCACATTTTGATTCCTGGCAATCTCTGGACATCTAGAGGAATTCGGGTCTTAAACTGGGGAAACGGCTAATCTGCCTTTTTATATAACTAGTTTTATCTGCATAAAACTGCTAAACAATTTGCTTGTTCTTCTGTCTTAATTCGTTAACGGGTACTGCGAGGTGTATTGTTTTAGAACAGATTTTATGCAGCGCTGAACTAATCTGCTGCTGGCTGTGGTTTTCTATTCACTGCACAGAGTGGCATCGATCGTCTCATTTAATTCTCAGCGAGATGGCAGACATTCAGAAATGAACACGTGAAGCCGTCCGTCTCACACCTTTTATAGTGTTTTTTACACCCAGTAAAACCCAAACCCCCTAAACGTGCTCTCCAAACACACAACACGGTCATCTCTCCTTACTCCACTCCTCCCTAAACTAATTCCACCTTACAGAAAAGATAAAGACGTACAGATTATTACGTGCCACAAACTGCCTCCCCCTGAATACACACACACACACACACACACACACAAAGCCCAAAAGAAACCTGCAGCCTCTGATTATCCTCCACCACAACATTAATTCTCATTAACACCCCACAATTGTGCCACAAAATGGGAATATAGATCACACACAGTAAGCTCCTCCTGCCCCTAATAGCATGTCCCCATCCACACACACACACACTCACACTCGCACATAAACCTGGGTGTTCCAAGTAATGCTTTATTTTCATTGGTTATTTTCTATTACTCTCTTAAAGGTGTCCTGGAGAGAACCATGCATTTTTTTAAGGAAGTATGGAGTAGAGAATAAGGTCTGAGACGTGAGGTAGTTTTGGTTTTGTTGTGTTTAAAAGCATTTCCAGATAAATTACCTTCAAAGAAAAGCTCAAATTGATCCAAATAGTACATAATTGTATTATATTCTAAAAATACATTGTCATATCATAAATGAGTATTCAGACCATCAGTCTACATCAGTCTACAAAACACACAATCGAGAAATCTGAATTAGTTTTAGCCAAAGCTTTTGATACCCACCAACCTCAACAGCAAGGAGAAGAAAATGAATCCACTGTGAGACCCTTCAACACTACATACAAGTCCTGAATATGCAAAAATATGTTTGCAAAATGTGATTCTAGTCTGTTCGTCTCTCCTCCGATTACCCAAAGCTTTGGTTGTTGCAACAGTTCTGTGTTCACTGTAAACTGACGTATTAGTGTCTCCTTACAGCAGAAAATAAATAGCTGGTTTCTTAACATTTCTGGTGAGCGGTCCAGATTCACGCAACCTCAGTGACACTCCTCAGCATTTACCTTCTGTTACCTGAGAGCTCAGTGTGTGTGTGTCTGTGTGTGTTTAGGACGGAGGACATCCCTCTGAAGATCCTTGCCCACAACAGCCTGGTGGGCCGGCTGATTGGGAAGGAGGGCCGCAACCTGAAGAAGATCGAGGAGGAGACAGGGACCAAGATAGGCATCTCCTCGTAAGTCGCCGCTCCCGCCGCTCCTGCCTTTCACACACACACACACACACACACACACACACATTACAGGCTGCCATTCCAACTTTTCCGCCCCATTCTAAAAAACATGCTCATCAACCACTTGGCATGTGATTCCACTCAAGCGAGTTGTTTGAGACAGAAATGTGAATTGTTGCTTACACACTGGTGTCAGAGCGCTGGTGACCCCCCCCCCCCCGTTTAACGGGCCGTGTTCACAGACCTTTGTTCATTTGGGGCTAATGAATTGCCTGCGTCTGTGTGAGCTCTGGGCAGAGAGGTAAAGACAGGAGGAGAGGGTCCTTTTGAAAAGAGGCGATCGGCACATTCAACATTATTGGTCGTGTGATGTTCGCGTCCTCCACCCACGCCGACGAGAGAATAGATCGTCTCTGCTCCAGAAGATGTCAGGGTGGCCGAGTGGTCTAAGGCGCCAGACTTAAGGATCGGCTCTGTCCGCAGTAAAGCGACTTCTGGTCTCCAATTGGAGGTGTGGGTTCGAACCCCACTTCTGACATGTGTTTACCGTCTTCTTCCCTGAGCAAGACACCTAACCCCTAATTGCTCCCCGGGCAAAATGTAAAAAGCCGTGGTTTTAAAGTGTAATGTAAGTCGCTTTGGATAAAAGCGTCAGCTAAATGACCTGTAATGTAACGTTATTATTGTGAACTTCTGGTCTTGAGCAATTGAAAATAATAATCAAGTTTAGTTGTACCTGTAGATTAGCTCATTATTTGCCACATACGGTGCAGAGGATTGATGAATCCATTTGATCTCTTGTCATCTCTACTGATGTTCACATCCTGACCTTGAGATGGGCAGAGCAGTTGTTTGAAGAGCGAAGCCTTCGCATGCAGATGTGTTTACCTGTCATCGGGAGTGCAATGTTAAAGCTGCAAAGAGCGCTGAGTTATGTGTTCTGTAGCGTGTCTCTGGAGGAGTACTGCCATCTTACTCCGGGCAAAGAAACCGCTAAATTGATGGCGTGGGGTTCAAAATATGTCTGTGTTTCCCATTTATTTAATTAGGAAGTTATTACCAATATCCAACCTCTTAAGTTGTGTGAACACGCATGTTTTTAATTGCGGCTGGGAGGTTTTTCTGAATGCTCGGATGATGCAATGTGTACAAGGTGCTTTTGAAACCCCATCGTGCTGCATTGTGGGAAGCAATTTGGATTGTACAATCCGCTGCCTCAGTTTTCATTATCCCTTTGTCCTCTTCTGTGTCCTCCAACTTAATGCAAAACTGTTTGCTGGAAAGAAGGAGGAAAAAAAAAGTAATGTTACTTCTTGGTGGAGATGACGCAGCCTTCAACAACACTTAAGTTGGATAAACACAAAGACAGGAAATGCAATTAAAATCTGCTCAGTCACATCCAAGCCTGTCAGGAAATGCACAACGTGAGTGTTCCTGCCCTCTGTATTTGTAGTTCCACATACATATTTATGTTTGTGTGTCTGTGTGCATTTTCCCTCTCAGGTTACAAGAATTAACCCTTTACAACCCCGAGAGGACCATCATGGTGAAGGGCAGCTTGGAGGCGAGTTGTAAAGCCGAGGTGGAGATCATGAAGAAACTGAGGGAAGCCTACGAGAACGACATCGCTGCTGTCAACGTAAGCCAAGCTCAAAGGTCACCATCTGCAGGCCTTCCTCGGCGTTTGACTCACGCAGACTGACACGAGAACAACGGCGTGGTGACACGCGGCGGGGGGGGGGTGGGGGCTCATATCGCCTCCCCATTCAGTTACCACCGGCGTTAGTAATACCAGCTGTCGTCTGCTTGGTAAACGGATCACAGTAAACGATAGCTGAATGGCTCATCACTGAGTCTTTGACTACAGTGTTTGTGTGTGTGTGTGTGTGTGTGTGTGTGTGTGTGTGTGTTTCACGCAGCCTCTGACTCACGCTCGCTTGCTCGCTGCGCGCGCGTCTGTGTGTGTGTGTGTGTTCCTGCTGTGGCACACTGCTCTTCCCAGTATCCATGTGATATGGGCAGGCCGCTCTCTCCCTCTGCCCCGACGACATCACCGGTGATGATATCACACTCCCCTATAACACGGGGACGGCCGCTGCGTTCGCCGTAATGAGGCTGCGTGCGATGAGCAGCAGTTACTCAGAGCTGAGATCGAAACTATCTGCTTTTTTTTTTTTCTCTCGCCGTGGCGCGTTTTGACCGGGCCATTATTGGCTCAGAAATAATCAGGAGAAGTGCCTGGCAGCGGGCGGTTAAATCGTCCCGGCAGGGGAGAAGCGGCGGCACCTGTCGGGCCCGAGCGGCGGCTCTACGGTGAGCGGTGAGGGCCATCTAGCGAGACACTGTGGATATTACACAAAGCGCACCGGGAACAAGGAAGTGAGCGGCGGCCTCGTGTCTCTTCACGCGCGCAAAACACGGAATAACTGACTTTGACTTTGAGGGAGAAATGTTTTTGTCGCGCCACCACGTTTTCTTGTGGTGGTCAAGTAGCTTTTTAAATACATTCTCCCTTAAGAAGGACGATCACTTGATCCTTCGCTTTATCCGGTACATTATTTGTTTAGAAAAGTGACAAAATATACAAATAAAATACACTTGACCATCAGTCAAGGAACAGTTAAGAAAACAAGCAATTAGCTGTTAATATCATTATTAATCCGCTAATTATTTCCTTAATTCATTATGTTCAAATAATAGCTTGTTTTGTCGGAACAACAATCAAATCCCAATAAATTTGATTCAGTTTACAGTAAAGTAGCATTTGCTTATAATGAAGAAACTAAAACTCATTTTAATATGATTGGATTACCATAGTTGTTACTGTCCATCTTCTTTATCTCACAGTTGATAGAGATAAAATCATGAACATTGGAATTTGGATTCATTTAAAGGACTTTTTTTATACTTTACAAATAAAAGAGACCCATTGCCCTCATATTTGTCTTTCATCATTTATTTGCAGTAGACTGCAATGATTTGCTTTTTCTGTTGAGCGTATTAGTCAGCATCTTAATGCAAAAGGAAATACCACAGCTCTGTTGAATGGCGTGTGCTTCTCACAATATCAGCATGTTTTTTCTTTAGAAAATTAGCCTTAATTCAATTCTCATGTATTTTCTTGTAGCCTTCAACTAGTGGTTACAATCTGCCCGTCTTCTTGTGCACAGCAACAGTCCAACCTGATCCCAGGCTTGAACCTGAACGCTCTAGGCATCTTCTCCTCTGGTTTGCCGGTTCTGCCCTCGGCTGCTGGACCACGTGGCGCAGCGCCCCCTATGGCGCCAGCGGGGTACAACCCATTCTTTGTGAGTATGATCTTTTCTTTTCTTTTTTTAAACCTTTGCACACAGACATAAATAACGGTGAAAAACGCTGAGACGCTTTGAAGCTCTTCTTTTAGAACGACCATGCACAGCTCCTTTGGACCCCGATAAAGTGATTGGTTTCCAGCACGTGGTAAACCACTTCCCGCCGGAGTACCATAGTGTTGACTCTGGTCTTCCTGCATAATGTTGAACACAACAAAGTTAGAACCCGCCAGAATTCCCCTGTCTTTCCCAGAGATGAGTCAGTTTCATCTTTAAAACAAAGTCCTGACTCACTGCCTGTGAGGCTGTGTGCAAGAACGTATTTGTGTGCTTTGTAGTCACGGAGGTCAACGTGGGGCTCACGGTGAGTCAATGCCCTGAATTCCCCCTTGTGAGAGCTCGAGGTGTGTGTGTGTGTGTGTGTGTGTGTGTGTGTGTGTGTGTGTGTGTGTCGGTTTAACGTGCCATCTAAACGGCCTGCTTGTCACTTCACTTTCAGAGTCACTCTTCACATCTCAGTGGCCTGTACGGCGTCCCTCCAGCGAGTGCCATCACCCACCAGCACTCAGTATGTACCAGTCAATGTTGCCTTGGTGATCAAAGACATGACCACAGATCTTTTGTTTTTTTTGTTAAGCTACATCAATGTGTTTTTATAGTTGAAAGCACGTTTTTTGCAAAGAAAATGATGTTAAAAAAAACGTGGAAAGGACTGGCTCCACAGAACAAGAGAAAGATATAAAACTGATGTATGGGGGACATAAATAAGAGACCATAAGAACCTCTCAGTTAGCGGCTATGTTGAGTGAGTCAAGCATTCCTCACCCAGTCACCAGAACACCACAAATATTTCTGAAGGGAGACTTTCTAGCCAAGAGTTGTCCAGGACTTCATAAAAAAATCACTTCATAAACCCTGAGTACATGAGTGTTGCCATGCTAAGAAAAACATAAGGTAACCCTCGGCCCGAATAGGAAATATTCCGCTCAAACCCAGCAGGCTGTTTACTCAAAGTGAAGTTCGGCTTTCCTTGCCCCAGTCAGTGGCAGAGTTTTGTGAACGTGTACTGAAACATCTGGGTTTTTTGTTTTTTTTTCCTCCAGCAACAGGCTCCAGAACAGGAGGTTGTCTACCTCTTTATTCCAACTCAGGCAGTCGGGGCCTTGATCGGCAAGAAAGGCCAGCACATCAAACAACTCGCCCACTTCGCCGGAGCTTCCATCAAGGTGGGTTGGAGACTTTTGATTCGCGGGGGGGCAAAGAGGTCAAACCGCGTCTAATCAGCACGCGGCGCGTCCTCAGGAGCTTCACGCGGAGGTTGGCGGTGACGTCACAGACCACAGCCGAGGATGTTAGATATTTAAGGGCAAAAAAAAGGAGAAGGTTGATAAGATGAGCGCCGGGGTGTGGTGATATTGAACAGCTGGTCATGGAATTCATGGAGTCATAATTTCATTTAAAGTTAAATATTTGTAGGAATTACACGACTTCTCAGATGTTTCAGTGGTTAAATGTATAAAATGATCAGAAAAAGATCTCCAGCTTTTGGACACATTTCGTAACGTGTGTGTGTGTGTGTGTGTGTGTGTGTGTGTGTGTGTGTGTGTGTGTGTGTGTGTGTGTGTGTGTGTGTGTGTGTGTGTCAGATTGCTCCAGCTGAGGGCCCAGATGTTTCTGAAAGGATGGTTGTCATTACTGGAACCCCGGAGTCTCAGTTCAAGGTAATAAATAAATGAGTCCATAGACGTGCAAATGTAATTATTTAACACAATATGGAACCCTTTTCAGGGTAAAATAGCTACTTGAATTATTTTTTACTATTATAAAATGGCTACTTAAAGCTACTTGAATTATTCCTTGAATGGTCCTGCATCATAGAGCGCACGTCTCCCTCTCTATTCCAGGCCCAAGGTCGGATATTTGGGAAGCTGAAAGAGGAGAACTTCTTCTCAGCGAAGGAGGAGGTCAAACTGGAGACGCACATCAAGGTCCCCTCTACTGCAGCTGGCAGGGTCATTGGTAAAGGCGGAAAAACAGTGAGTACACGCTTCAACTGAGCGGCGTTACGGTCGAGGATGGAAAAGAAGGTTTCATCAACTTGGCTTTAACAATAAGCATCGGACTTTATTGGCTTGGTTTTGGGGGAAAGGGCGTTTCAGTTCACCTCGGTGAGTAATGCGTGTTTGCCGGAGGTGAAATTCAAAGCAAGATGATGACTTTTCTTACAGGTGAACGAGCTGCAGAACCTTACAAGTGCTGAAGTCATCGTACCGCGGGACCAAACTCCAGACGAGAACGACGAGGTCTTTGTGAAAATCAGTGGGCATTTCTTTGCCAGCCAGGTACGCTGTGCCTTGTTAAATACCGAACACTGGTTTAGTTTGAATGTTTCACAGCAACTTCCTTGAGCAGCTGCGTGCCGTCCGATCACAGAAAGTATGTGGATGAATGTTTCTCCTTTCTGTCATCGGGGCGTCATCTGACATCATGTGGTCATTCCTGCTTACTGCACTTTGGTGCACCTTGTTGTAATTTCACTGCACAAATTGGAATGTTAAGGCAATATTTCCCGAACACCTTGTCAGGTGTTAATTAACCCCTTGTTCCGCGTGTGACGTCCCTCCCAACAGACCGCGCAGAGAAAGATCCGGGAGATCATCCAGCAGGTCAAACAGCAGGAACAGAAGCACCAGCAGGGCGGCGCCGTGTCACCGCACCACTCCAAGTGACCGGGGCGGGGGCGCGGCTCCATCGGGCGCCAGTCAATGAATGTAGCCCCTCCCAAACGAACAGAGAACTACCCAGACAAAAGGGCCGAGGCCAAGGGGGGGACGTGCAGGGGGAGACCAGCAGCACCGGGATCAAAACCAAAGAACTTCACCAGGGGGGAAAACGAGTGAGAGCCAAAGGCCGAGGGTATCGCGTGCACTGCCAGCCCCGCGAGAGCAGATTGAGCGGAGAGAAATCGTACGGATGTGATATAACAGTAAAAGACCAAAAAAAAAAAAAAAAATCTACTAGGTGGAAATGGCAGAGAAATTGGCCCCTGCGGTTCTCACAGATAAAAAAAGGTAAACAGGAAATAGTATACTGCCCTGCATAACGTTATCTCTTTAGCTGGACTAACATAGGCCTAACCAACTGATAAAGCATCGGCCTTATCTTTGACTATTATTTTGGTTTAGAACGACAGCGAGTGACAATGGACACCTTCTCTCACAAGAGTTTGAGATATTCAGATTGCAAAGTGGATTGTCCTTAGCAGTATTAACACACCGTAGATTCGTATATTGATACACACTTTGGGTATGCACTGTTGTTTTTCTCTCAAAATGGCAGTACAACTTGGTGTAGTCTTTAATGTGATTACTTGTTCTAGAAAACGATATGCGTGACAGTCACATGAAGCAGTTCCCCTTGTTTGTTCACATTATAGGCCACTGAAATCAAAAGGAGATAAACCCTCTATAAGTAAATATGGTGAATGGGTCTTTGTAAGCAGCCTGTGTGCCAACGAAAAGATAACGTCCCTTCGAAACGTCTCTCACTATTCCTATCTGATGCTTCTTTTCTGCTAATTCTTGCTTCTTTTTCTCATCACTCTCTCTCATTTGGCATGTTTTTTTTTAATATATATATTTTTAATTGGATGAAATATTTGTTGTCCAAGAAACGCTTTTCTTTCCCCCCGTAGCCTTTTGATAACATTGAACAGACTGCCACTTTCACTCGACGGAGCCAAATCACAACAGAGGGATTGTTATCACTCCTCCGCGATGTGCAGCAGACCAAATCTGCATTCTCGTTGTAATCCTGATATATAAAAAAAAAAAAAATACAAAGGATGTCTCCGTCGGCATTCCCCTCAATGACCAGAGAAAAAAAATCGTCTTAAAACAACAACAACAACAAAGGTATGAACCTTTGCTCGCCAACAGGCGACTAGTCATTTTGAATGTGTACCGCCACACGCTTCGCCTTATGAGAACCTCTTCGAGGGCCGACACAACATGCGAGCTGAGGGGCCCCAGACCCCCAGCTGTGTGTGAGTGGCAGTGAGGGAACGGTTTCGGGGCAGAGGTCGGGCACCGGGAGGAACCGTGTGACCTGTGGTACCAACCGCGGCCACGAGCCCTCTCTCGTCAGGGAGCTTTCGACAGCGGCGTGACAGCTGTGAATGTACAATATGCAGCCTTTTTTTTTTATTTTATTTTTTTAGATCGTTCGCCGCCCCCCCCACGCCGAGTCCAGCTGGCCGGCCCGAGAGGCACAGATTGTCACCGTCGTCGTCGCTCTCGCTCTTCTGTTAACTTTTCCTCTTGTGTGTGTTTGTTGTTTTTGGCGAGCTGGACACGCGGGTCCTGGTGTCCCTTTGTGCGTTACTTTGGAGACCGTGGAAGCTTGTTGCCTTATTTTGTCACCCGTCACCCATCAGCTTCATCTTCCAGACAAAGTTATTGCCAATACGCACAGCTTCCTGCGCGTGTGTGTGTGTGTGTGTGCGCGAGCGTGTGCGCATGTTTGTGTATATATATATAAAAAGAGAGAGTAATATTTATGAATCTATTTTTTTCCTATTTTGTGATGAGAGCTATTGATAAGAACTAAAAAGAAAACCAAGTCCTTTTTTTTTTTTTGCTCCTCAGTGGGACACTGCCATATTATTTTGAAGGGAAGTGTTTATTTTCTTGAAAACTAGACTATGAATAATAATAATACAACTAAAACCTGAAAAATAGAACAGTAAGGTGAACCACCACGTTAACGTTGGTCAGGATGTGAACAGTGCGCATGTCAGTATTGTGATCTACCTCAGGCTTCAGGGTACCTCAGTCCAATCTTTCATTTCCCCCTTTTTTCCCACATTTGTATGCCTTGTTAACTGATCATTTGGGCGTTTTTATTTTCCTTTTTTAATGAAGGGGGGGGAGAAAAAGGAACAACACAAAAGATCTACAGTAGGCGATTCACTAAACTCTTCAGGTCCAGCCAACTAGTGAAACTTTGCAAAGCGTAGTGAACTCTGTTGGACTGTCCTCGCCTGGGCGCCATGCGTCTCCATCTTAAGGACACACGTCAAAAGCATTATTGCTAGAGAGGGATGAGGAGCGGGATGTGAGGGGTACACGCCTGCCCGAAGTGGTTCTGCATGTGGATGTTGTGTACTGATCAAACCATCAAAGACAAACGACAAAAAAAAGGTACAAATCAAACCGAAAACAACTGTACCTCCAGGTTATTATTATTTTTTTTTAGACTTTTGAAGAACACAATGAAGTTCCTTCACTTGCGGGGGAAAACATTTTTTTTAACAACCCAATTCAATCTTACCAGCTCTTTTTGATAACAGCATTCTCTGGGGTTTGGATTTGACAACAAAAAAAAAAAAAGAAAGCTGCAACAACACGGCGAGGGGACTCCTGAAAACCCCCCGTCGTCTGTGTAGATTGTAGAACAACTCTAGTGGTGGATACGTCACTGTACGGTGACTGTATCCCTGTCAACACGTACAGTGGAGTCACACGTGGATGCGTCATTTTCCGTCTCTCCACAACGGTGATCGGCCTGCGTTGTGAGAGATCGCCGGAGATTTTCCTCCGAGCGGTCTCCTCGCCCCCCTGCGGAGTAGGTGTTTTTTGTTCTTGTGCTGTACATTTCAGAATTACCTCTCAGAATCCAAGGCTGACGTTAGCTACTAAAATCAATGTAGGGCAAAGTAATTAAATGTATGAACAAAAGTTTAGTTTATCTTTCGAGCTCTTGGCTCTTGTCCTCGGATCATCCTCGTCCCACTGAACACGAGACTAGCAGTGCTCAAAATAAACCTACAAGGTCTATCAAACTCACACAATGCCTGAGGCCGCTTCAGCGAGCCTCCCCACAGCCGGCACGGTACCTCACACTGACGACGACGATGATGGCTCACCGGACCAGGTTCAGGCCGGACCCAGGTGATCGCAGCACGGTGCTGCTGCTCCGGTTCACCGTAGTGGGGCACGTTGAGATAATGGCTTTTCACGGTAGCACTGGATATCCTAGTTTGTTTGGACTTGTCGGTAGTAGCTTCATAGGGCGGTTTGACGGTTTTGGGGCTCTTTCCTTGCATTGCAGAGGACTCTCCAGACCTCTGTTGCTCTTGTGTTTTCGGCTCTTTTTACACAGCGAGGTTTTGGTGCAGGTTTTGGTCGTGCTGGTTTGGTTTCCCCGTGGCGCTGGCAGCACAGCGTCCCGGTTGTTGAGACATCCGTTAGCCGACCGCAACCCGAGGCAAAACTTGTCAAGATGACAGTAACTTTTTATTTTTATTTTTTATTTTACTTCCAAGGATTGGTGTTTCTAGGTTTTGTGGGGTGTTGCTAGACATTAATATTCAGTACCAGAAAATCACAAATACACACTTCACTGTGCTGTGTTGTTAGTCATATAACATGGTGGTTTGATAGCTTAGTTTTTTTTTCTCCTGTTGATCTGGTTTTCTCGTCATTGACACTGATTTAATAATGTAGTCTGCCGTAGCTGCGATTCTTTGCTTTAATTTTCATTCCTTTTTTAGATCACTACCAATAATACTAGCGGTTCAAATGTGATTTGAAACAGATCCTAGCTAGGAGTTTTAACAGAATTTTTAATCAAAATTGCAAAATAAATAAATCTGACATGCAAGGAAGGAAGGTTGACAGATTATCCAGGTCTGATTTATATTTTTTAAAAGCTGATAAAATCTTGTTCTGCGTTTGCGTCGGAGCAGAAAAAGAGGGCATTCAACAACGATCAGAAAACCACAGCTGAGAAAAAGTGTAGTTAACTCTGTTAAGAACCGCAGCAGTGTTTTTTGTACTGTCTTGTTGTTAAATGGGGAAACACAAAGCATAGCATGAGACTGTTGTAGGCGATCCAGTACGTACACTCTATATAGCACCACACTCTCAGTAGTGGTTTTACATGGATCCATTTCTTAACTGCATTTCACCATTTGGGAGATTCCTTTTGTTACAACCCTCAAGTCCTACATTTCCCACGGACCTGCAGGTCCCAAACACCTCAAGGTAATTGGTGACTGTGCGCCGGACAGACATTCGATCCCTTTTGAGTCCATCTGCTGGATCCATTGCCTTTCTGGTAACAGCCATGCTGTTTTGAGTTGTGAGAGAACTGTATTGCTGAGCAACCTGGATCTGAGCAATAAAGAATATTTGAAAAAAAAAAAAAAGTTCCTTCATGTTTACCATTTTATTATAATATTTTAAAGTTCAATTAAAAAAAAAAAAAATAGCACGTCATTTGTGATCTGACACGATATAAATGTAAACAGCACTTAAAATATTGAATTTACAGAAAGCTAACCCACAGGGAAATCACATTTAAAATAGAACCACAACTGTACAAAAGACACACGTAATAAGTGTGCTGCCAACCCCATACAGTTACAAAAAGTATTCGCACAGATCTTTAAAAATAGGAATCATCCATCCACATTAAAGGAGAAGTCTGTCACATTAACTCCCATTACGGAGGTAGAAGATTTAAACCATCACCGCATGACACAGTGACACGATGGCATTTTAAACACTAGCTGTTTACCTCTCGAACCTCTCAGAGTTGATTGTCCCTTTCTGCACATTCATACTTACAAATCAACGTCACATGTACACATGCTGTGCCCATAGACATCATGGCACAGAAACACCAACATTTGGTTAGACAGAATACTTCAAATCCCAGAAAAACACATCCACTTCTTGAGGGTGGAGGGCGCTACATCCCCGGGACAAATCACTGGACCTTCTTATCCGCGACGGACCCGTTCTGCGATTGGACGTCCGCTTTGAGGCGCTTCTGACTCAAGCGTCTGATAAGCGCGCCGGGCAGCAGGGCCACGCAGGCGATGGCCAGCAGCTGCAGCAGCCTGTCCCGGGAGAACAGGTCGTCCAACGACGTCAACTCGGACAGCATGACGCCCGTCTGCACACAGATGAAGTTGTACGGCAGGAGGCCTGCGAAAGCAGAGCAAAACCCTGGTTGGACAGATATGCTGAGCTTTGTTTTTGCAGAATTTGCAGTTAAAAAAATGCTTGATGAATACCTTTTAAATCTCCAAAAGGCACGTAATGTAAACATGTCTCACAATTTAGAATTGAAAGCAGATTTAAAGGGACAACAGAGGAACATGCTCTGTGTCGTTTTGATTCAGTGAGTGCGCTTTTGATGAATGCGTCATCGCGCGGTTTAAAGGTCAGCCGATGACCTGCGCTCACCGATGAAGACCGAGCCGAAGAAGAAGGTGATGGGGATGTTGACAATCGGGGCGCACATGTTCAGGAACCAGTTGGGAGTCATGGGAAAGAATCTCAGGAAGAGCAGAAAGAAAAACAAACTGTCCTGGTTCTCCTCAACCTGGGAGGTAAAGAGGAGAGGTTGTAAAATGACCTTCGTAGGGACGGCAGGTTACGTCACTCCACTTTCTGATACAATAACAACTACCTTGTTATAGCAGAATCAGGAGGGTTCGGGTGAGTAACACTGGCAATATTAGTACATAACACATCACGGGGGAAGCGATGAAACCTGCATGGGATTTTCTTTATGTTATGTTCTGTTTTAATGAAATCTATTTGGAAACGTTTGTATGTACTGTATTGTCTTTATCTGTAGTTTGTTGTACTTGAGAGACAAACTGCTGAACTGAAAACTAATTTACTTTCAAACCCGACGCGGATGGGGGTGATATTTTTACCTTCCTCTGTAGCATGGAGACTTTATCGGGGAAGAGGCTGATGATGTAGCGCTTTCCGAAAGCCTTGGACAGGAGGTAGCACATGGTGGAGCCCACAGTGGTGAGCACAGAGGCTAGCAGCAGTCCTTGATAGGGTCCAAATATAGCACCTGCTAAAATGTTCTGCACAACAACATACGGAGAGGGCCCGGGTTAATAGACATCACCAATATGAGTGACCTGCACGTTAACTAGCAGAGGTCTCTTCGCTGTGCTGCAGAGGAGGATTGAAGGAATGTATCCGGGGACAGAAAAACTGTCACAAAAGCCTTAGATCGCCGATACAAAGACAAAGTCTGTCATCCTTTTTGTTGTTTGATCTAGCGGAATATTTTAATCCCCTGCAGGACGTCTGAAGAGACATTTCACTAAAGTGATCCTCCCATGCAGGTCTACTTTCTTTCACACCCACCAGACACAAGAATTTTCTAGCCAATTGTAATCAATGTGTCATCTGAACAGAGAGCCCTTTGAACTGTATTTTTTGTTTTGTTTTACGCTTACCAGAAGCGTGGACCCAGGAATGGCAAAGGACTGCTTGTAGAGATATGCACTGCAGAAGAGGAGCAGAACATATCCAGTGTGCTCCGTCTTGTAGAACTGCAGCAGCTCAGCCAGCTCCCTCAGCTCCTCCAGGTCCGATGGGAACTTCAACCTGCAGGAACAAATCTGTCACATCATCCAACGTCTTAAACAGAGCGCAGCGTAAATAACTGCTCAGTTAGAGCGGATCCCAGGTAGAAGTGCGCGTGGAGGAGAGACGGGTGAACTAATAACCCAGAAATGTAACGTTAACTAAGTTGCACGGTGGGCAGCGGAGAGCCACTAGCGTCCCTCACCTGCTGGGTGGCTCGGACTCCTCCGTCTCCTCATGACGTCCCTCGGCGGGCGGAGGAGGACGTCGCCGCGGTGCGGCCGGCAGGTACAGCGACAGATAATACAGGTACACGCTGGCTGCGACGACCACCGCGATCAGTCCGACAAGCGAGCGCATATTCTCCCCCCCCGGCTTTGACCACCAGGACGCGGGCTTCGGCTCCTTGTTGCCGGCGAGCGAAGCAAACGGCCGGATCTTCTTCTTTGCGGTTGACCTCGACGGTGTTACGTCACTGCCCCCTAGTGGGAGGAGTCAGAGCTACCGGGTTCCGTTTATATTATGATGTTAAAAATTGATCTGCGACCACCAAGCCAAGTTAAGTGAATAAAAAAAAAGGGGGCGGGGAAGTTGTTGCCATCACATGTATGTGTCTGTTGGCAGACACATACATAAAATAAAGAAAAACAGAAAGAGTGACTGGGTGTAGACAAACACTTTTAACACTTTAACACAGATAATTTAATGCAAAATGGGGCACACAATAAACAACGGCAACAAAACAAAGCCCACGAGAACAAGCAAAAGTATAGGGGCAATAAGGCCCTTTCTTTCTCAATCAAAATCAACCCTACCAAATACAGTCAAAAGTCCAAAGTTCGTTGAACGAATATCTCCATATTCACTATGTTCGATCTTGAAAATTAAAAATAACACATTGGAACTATAGGTGGAATAATTATACTGGGAAAGACATATCGGAAACTCTGCTAATATGGATTATTAACACTATAAAATCTTTAAAGTTGTTTTCCTTCCCCAGTCGACGTGGAGTAGTCTGAGAACGAGGACGCACAGGGCGGTCCGACGGATGGGAGGCGGGGCTAAGGCAAACGCTACTGCGCATGCTCAGTGGGCCCAGTCATCCGGGTATTTCACAATCTATTTTCATTCTCGGAAGTTGGAACTTTTTTTTAGCTTCATGCGCCATTGAGCAACTTTCACGGGAACGAACGTGGCGCCATCTTTGACACCGTGTAGTTCTGATTGTGCGTTCATGCTATCACGTGATCAAAGATTGACAGACGTAATGCTGCGTTGACAGAGTGTCGTTACAAAGTTCCGTCTCCGTAGCTGAAAGAACCGCGATACGGTGTAGTGGGACTAGTAGGAGCGATGGCTCAATATACTCGCGCATCGGGGTTTGTTGGCTTAATTACCCTCCAGAATCCGCCTGTTAACGCACTCAGGTGAGCTGAAGTCAAAAAGAAGCCTGGAGACCTTGTTTAATGCAAATTGTTTTTTAAAAACATGTGCAAATGTTACAATTGACCGCAAATCCGTATGTTGTGTTTTAGAGATGCAAAAACCTTTCCGAACGCATTTTTTAAGAAAGAGAACAACATAATTTCTAAATACAATAGAAAAAATCCCTGTTTTGCCAGATTGTTGAGGTCATAGGAAGAGCTTTCTCAAATCAAGGACTTGGTTGGCTTAAATACTGAACTTAATATTATATGTCATAGTATTGTTATGGCACTGTCAGATACTTCTAACCTTGAATTCTCTAAGTATATTTTGCAGAGAATCCTTCTGCAGGACTTTCACTTGTAGTATTATGGGATACAGCAAAGTCTGATCACCTGGTCAATGATCTACTGCAGGAGCGACGGGGTTGAAGTTCTGACCACCGCTGCCCAATTTTACTGAAACGTATTGTATTCATTGTCCTATTCGGCACAATGAATGTATTTATGGCGAAGAAGGGCTCTAGTAGACATTTCTGTAATGTTCCTTAAGCATAACCAACAATTTAAGGGGGATAAAGGTGAACTTGTCTTCTTTTTATATACAGTGCGGTGGTGAGACAGGCGATTGTAGACACGGTGAAGATAGCTCTCAGTGACCCAAAGGTGAAGTCTGTGGTCATCTGTGGCCAGAATGGAAACTTCTGCGGAGGTATGGAGGGTTTTTTTTCTTTTCAAAAAATATTCTAACTTTAAACCCTTAAAATCCTCAACATCCACAAGCAGACATCTTCATGGAATCCCAATTACAATGCAACCCTGTTAACCGCGTAAATTCAATCTTTTGCACAACAGGGGCAGACATTAAGGAGTTTGGGGGAGAAATGACCGGACCGCCACTGATACCGATGATCCACGCCATCGAGGCCGCCAACAAGCCGATGGTGGCGGCCATAGAGGGGAACGCTTTAGGTGGAGGCCTCGAGCTGGCACTTGGCTGCCATTATCGAATCGCACACTCTAAAGTTAGTCCGTGCTTCCTCACTGCGTGACTGACGTAGTAATACGTCACATGCACTGCGAAAGTATTCCATGTAACAATCTGTGTGCTATATATTTGAAAGCTGTCTATGATTGTCATGAACCCCCCCCCCACTGATCGGCACGTCCCATTCATCAAACTTTGTGTCCTTTCAGGCCAGACTGGGTCTTCCAGAGGTGACTCTGGGTCTGCTGCCAGCTGCAGGAGGCAGCCAACGGCTGCCGAGGCTCATCGGGGTCCCAGATGCCTTAGACCTCATCACCACAGGTAGCAAAGACAGATTAACCTTGCAGGACCATCAATACTTCATAGTAGAAATTTGAAAATGTATCAATTCAGATACAAGGAAGTATCAATAGATATATTGTGATCACTTTTCCTTCCAGGGTTGTTTGCGCACCCATGTTTTGTCGTGTTTCAGTTGAGCTTCATGCAGGCTTAACCTTGTTCTGAAAACTCATTATTAAGCTGAACGGCACTGTTGGTTGTAAATCAACCTGAGATGTGGAGACTGGTAGTGTACTCTGATGACCAGCAGAGGTCAGCATGTGTTCAGTTTTACCGCGCTCACTTTCGCAGAAGTGTGAATCACCGCCGTTTTCACAACAAATACATCCAGATCGTAATTCTTCCTCATTTCAAAGATTCTAACTGGGGATTCTCCAGTGCCTGGAAGGCTCGTCCTACCGTATTTTAATAATCTGAAATGCCACATGTCACTCTGATCGACCTTCGATGCCCTTCACAGGACGCATCGTAACGGCCGCCGAGGCCCTGCGACTCGGCATTGTGGACCAGGTGACTGAGCACAACACCGTTGACGCAGCTGTGAAGTTTGCCCTGAGTGTTGCAGGTGAGCAGCAGAAAAAAAAAAATCCACTCCCTTCTTCACGGGTTTTAAAAAACGGGAAGCAGAGAACACGGCAGGCGCGTCCTCCACCGCGGAAGACATGAATGTTTCATGGCTCTGTCAGATGTGCTCCGACGTCTTCACTGCTTTTGCTGTATTATTCAGAAGGTGAAAAGGGACAAACTTTCCTAGAATATTAATAACCGCCCCTCACCATTCATTTTTGGGGATGGAGATTGCTCCATGCGCGAGCATGAGACTCGTCAACCCACTGGATGGATGCTAAAGTGTGCCACGTCCCTACAGCTCAGGAGCAATGATTTCTCAGTCTGTGTAAAGACAAACCGTTCACATGCACGACTGCTACATTATAATGCTGAGGGAGTATTAGTGCACATTTTTTTTAGCTAATGCTTTTCTTTTAGCTTCCTTTTCAACCATTGGCAAAAAAGTAAATATGCATATTTCCCACAAATGTCTAAACTATTCCGGTAATTGGTATTGTGAACTAATAGGCATACCTCCCAATCTGGCGTTTGGTTTAGTATGTTTACGTCGTCCGATTACACCAGTGGCTGGAGTCGCTTGTTTAGTCTTGTCTTTGCAGAGCCACACAAAAGTGTTACATGCACGTTACAGTTTTTTTTGTGACAATATTTTAGGGAGCCAGTAAGTCTCCGGGACAACCTGCGAAACATTTCATAACCAAAAGACAATTGAAGTGTTTTGCTTTTTACAAATGCGCCCCCCCCCCCCCCCCCCATCTCCACTCCCACTGCCAAGATGACTATGAGTGGGTGAGCAAGTGAGCGTTTGTAACACCGAGGCTCCGAGTGAGTCACACAGAGAGGCCAAAACCACACACATGGTGGGAGATTTTAGGAGATGGGACTGAAATCCACGGAGACCTCTGGGTTCTCCAGTACTGATTATCAGGCGTGTTGAATCAGGACAGGAAACGTCTGTCTAAATGTTCAAACTAAACGTGCAACTGTTGGTGACATTGAGACGCAGCGGTTTGGCCGGTCACGTCCATAGATGCGAACATGAAGCGCTGCACAGCAGTGAAGCTGGCACATGGGTGCATGGAGCCGGAGGCCTTTGCATTTGTGCACTCAGACACACACACACCACAGATTCAAGTCTCTGCTCGTGACGAGATTAACGTTTTCGCCCCAGTAGTCGCAGCATCTGCCCGCCACATCTGTCAGGACGACCAGGCTTTCCACCCGCTGCACAACAAATCCATCGACGCAGCTCAAACATTTGCAGCTTAACCGCTGGAATAATGCCCTCCTGAAGTCCGCTGGTATCCCATTGCTCTGTCACATGCCGGTTGACTAAACTGAATGTACTTTTAACTGAACATTTTATTCATTCATTCTTCAGCGCGAATTGATTCTGACTTTTTTGTTGGCAAAATTATAAGTAACAAAAATGGGAGACAACCGATCACGTATGGCTGCTGTTCCCCTTTTAAGCTTTGCCACGGTGACCCAGATTCTGGCCTCGACCCTCGGATGAGTGTAATTCAGTGGAGCTGTTAAGGATTCTGACCACTGGCTCGTGTAAGAGGGGACATAAATGGGTATTACGATGCTTTTAACAACGTTTTAGCACAGTGGCCTTCTTCATTCTCATTGTTTGCAGGCTATTATCTCAGCAGGCAGGTTTGTAAGATCCAATGTCATGTAGTTCCACCTTGTAATGGTGGAACTACATGACCTTGTAAGTGTTGTACGGTTGCTCTCAGGCCCAAGAATTCCAGATATTCATCCCTTTGCACTTAGAGTTAGAGGTATAACTATTTAACCTAGAACCAAATTTGGTGAAAGTTAACAGTAATAGCGCATTGGCACCGGAGTCCATCCAATTATGCTGGAAATGGTCTTTCAAATCGTTCTGCCCATATAAGCTACTGGGGTATTTTGTGATTGAGGGGCCAATTATTCCTAGACTGAGTGCTGGTTGAGAAATAGGACATGGAGAGGGGGAAAAAGCTGTATTACTGGAACCTAGGGAGCGCTTTTCATTTTAGAAAATACAATTCTGCTAGTGAGGACAAAAAAATATCCTTTAGAGTACATTTTATGATGTACTTTTCACAAAGTCGGAGGACTAAGTAAAAAGGCAATTCCTCAGGAGCCATGTTTTCCTCCCATGTTTCTATTTCAGGTCAGCCCCTGGACGCCCGCCGTATAAGTACTTTTCCGTGTCCCCGGCCGCCTGATTCGGATGCTTTGTTTGAGGAGGCGATGCGGAAGGTGCGAGGCAGTGCCCGTGGAGCTATGGCGCCGGTCGCGTGTGTCCAGGCGGTGCGGGCGGCCGCCACCCTGCCGTACGAGCGGGGCATGGAGCGGGAGAAGGAGCTGATGGCCACTCTCTTCACCTCAGGCCAGGCCCGTGCCCTGCAGTACGTGTTCTTTGCTCAGAGAGCCGTGGGCAGGTGGAGTATGCCCAGTGGAGCCGGATGGGATACGAGCAAGCCCAGGCCCGTAAATAAAGCAGCTGTCATTGGTAAGAGCTGTGGACTTTTAATCTCTCTTCCGTACGCACAAGCGCATTCACTCATTCAAGCTATCTGTGTGGCTTTTCCAAAATTTGTGTTGCCTATGAAAACTAAACCCTGGTTTATAGTTTGGCTGAGTGTAGATGGATGAACCCGCTCTTCCCTGCAGCGAGGATTGGCTGCATGACAATCTGGATATGTGAAGCTCTGCAGCTTGTGCATTAATCTTGCATTGGTTTGGACAAACTTTATGCTCCCAGGCTAAAACTATTTACAGCCTATCCTTATGTAGAGTGCCCAGATGGTATAATTCTGTGATATAAGCTTGTATATACTGTAATTTGTCTTGATTAGACTGATACAGTGATGTGCGGCGATGCCAGGCTAGGCACTCCGTTATGAAAGTCCGATTACCTCATTTATTGTTTAGGCTAACACGTCAAAACGATATTACGTCAAGTCCATATCAAGAAATTTCTGATCTCGATTACGTATTGGGCGTCACTCTTGGTGTCAGCGAGGAGCACGTCTACGACTGAGTCGATCAGATCACCTCGTATTCTGTTAGATGTTCCAGAAACTGCAGTAGACGTACGTAGATGTCTAGCCGACCTCTCGTCTCTCTCTCAGATAGCACATCCAGCAACTCAATGTAATTGCCGCTATTACTGAAGCTAGCGCTTTTATCATTGCCACCAAAAGCAAGCTCTTGCCTTTCCAGGAAGCAGGTCGCATTTATCAGATCCTTCGATACCTCTCGATTTTCTTTTACCTTTTTTTATCGTAGCAGGTTAAATTCAGCCTCCTTTGCTCGTCAAGTGCAAGGTCGATCCGAGATTTGCCAAAGGATTTCACCGTGATTTGACACTAGAATTGAGCTGACAACATTTCATGCTTGGTTAAAGCTGTGCCATGGTTGTTTAAATCACAGCATCCCATTGAAGTACAAACAATCTGACTCGTTGAAAAAAGCAGGCAGGTATAGCGGTTCTCCAGAAACTGCACAGCCACATAGTCTGTTTGAAACAATCAGTTTCTGTTTTTTAGCCCCTTTGCTGCAGTAAGCGATTATGCTTAAAATGTAGCTGGTGTAGTGACGTTAGCGGCGCAAATGTCCGGTAATGTCTTGATTTTAATTGGTCCATGTTTGATATGTTACGTAGATGATTACTAGCATAACATATGTACCTGCATTATTGTGCTTTTTGCCGTTGTTGAAGAATACAGGATCGAAGTTGCTCGCCCAACATTGTTTTTTTGCTTGTCCTCCCCAATGAATGGACAGTAGAACCACTGCTTATTCTACTTATTCTTTTGTATTTGACTTGCTTAACTGCTACCTTTTGTCATTGTAACGTCTAAACAATTGGAATACACATATTGCGTGTATAAATCACAAGAATAAACGGTAAAAATACAAGTTTATTAAATTATTTTGGCAGGGTAGGCCGTGCCCCGTTTGCCAACCCAGGCTGCACGTCTCTGCTGTGACATGTATGACTTGCGACTCTGGGGTAATACTTCTGTGGTTGCCATGTGATCTTGTCTTCAAAGGTCTCGGCACCATGGGGAGAGGCATAACGGTGGCCCTGGCTCAGACGGGGTTGTCCGTGGTTGCCATTGAGACCCAGGAGAAGCAGTTGATGGAGGCAAAGCAGGCAGTCACTAGCATGCTGGAGCGAGGAGCTAAGAGGCGCGGGGCGGCTCCCGCGCTCGACCGAATCAGTTACAGCCGCAACATCCAGGCCGTAGCAGACGTCGACCTGGTCATCGAGGCTGTGTTCGAGGACATGGCCCTGAAGTTGGAGGTATTCCGGCAGCTGTCTGCTTTTTGCAAACCAGGAACTCTCTTGTGCACCAACACTTCTGCCCTCGACGTGGACGAGCTGGCCCGCGGAACCCCTAATCCGGAGCTGGTGGTCGGGATGCACTTCTTCGCCCCCGCCCACGTCATGAAGCTCCTCGAGGTGGTGTACGGGAAACGGTCCTCTCCCCAAGCAGTCGCCACTGCCATGCAGCTGGGAAAGAAAATGGGCAAAGCCAGTGTGGCAGTTGGCAACTGCAGGGGCTTTGTGGGGAACCGCATGCTGAGGCTGTACGTCGAGCAGGCTTTCTTCCTGCTGGAGGAGGGCGCCACACCGGAGTTGGTAGATGGAGCGCTGGAGGAGTTTGGTTTTCCCATGGGTGTGTTCAGAATGTCCGACCTCTCCGGGCTCGACGTGGGCTGGAGAACCAGGAAGGCAGCCGGCCAAGCGCAGCCTGGCGAGGCATCAGGGCAATCGGCTAGAATCCGAAATGGCTCCAGGTACAGTCCCATTGGAGACCTGGTCTGCGAGCAAGGACGGTTTGGCCAAAAAACTGGCCGGGGCTGGTACCAGTATGACAAACCCGGCAGTCGGGTGGCCAGGTCCGACCCCTGGCTGCACAGCTTTCTGGAGCAGTACCGAGCCCGGCACGGCCTGGTGGCACGCAGCATAGACCGCCAGGAGGTGCTGGAGCGCTGCCTCTACGCCCTCGTCAACGAGGGCTTCCGCATCCTGGAGGACGGAATCGCCGCCGGACCCGAAGACATCGACGTCATCTATGTGTTTGGCTACGGCTGGCCCGGGCACCGGGGAGGTCCCATGTTCTACGCCAGCACGGTGGGGCTGCCGAAGGTCCTGGAGAGGCTGGAGCACTACCACCAGGCTCACCCTGATGTGCCCGACCTGCAGCCCTGCGGCCTCCTCCGGCGGCTGGTGGCCAGTGGCAGCCCACCTGTCCACAGGTGGAGGGAAGTCATCAAGAAACTCCATAGCCAGCTTTAAATCTCAAACATCTCAGCTTTAATCTCTTTTAACAATGAGGGTCTTGTACTGTGATAAGCGGTCAATGAAATACAATTATATTGTGCTTTACAATAAAGCTGACGTAGTGATATTTATTATATATAATGTGATTTATGGGTGGAATAGTTGCCATATCAGTATCCACCTGTATTTAAATGGTGGGTCAAAGCACCGGACAATATACTTCAACATGAAAAGCTGCAGCGATTGGATGTCTCATGTGAATGTGAATTAGATGCAGATGTGCAGATGTATCCAAAATGGTAAATCAATGTGTTGCAGAATAAATAAACTATACTGAAATACAATGATGTTTTGTAATTAAATCAGATTTAATAAACGTGTGTACTCCTATTGTATGAAATATGTCATAATGATCCTATAAATCTACCCTCTGATGCCTCAATAAAGCCCGGTTATGGCTTCATCTGTTTTCTGTCCCGTTTGTGTGAATCTGGTTCACATCCGAGTAATTCTGGCTTGTGTTTCTGCTCTGGAGTAGATTCATTCAAACGTCGGGTTTCTTTTTTTTTCTGACTCAGCTTGGGTGACAGCGGAGAGCTCAACATGCTAAACTGCTTTCATATAAATGAAATGCTCACTCTCTAAAGACGTCCCCCACCTCAGCAGCGAGTAGATCACGGGGTCGCCATCCAGCGGTTGACGCCCCCAAAATCAGCAGCTGGATAAACCATTATGACGCTCCATTGTGTCTGCAAATACAACCAAATAAAACCATTTCCGATCGTATGGCTGTTTAACAGCAGCCCAATACGAGGCCACGAAAAAACAGCAGGATGTACGAATAGACACGAGATGCTACCAAGATTATATAATAAGCATCTAATCAGGATTCACACAGCGGCGTTCAAGTTGCTCCATCAGATCGAGACCCCGCTGTTTTGAAGTTATGAAAGGGGCCGATTGAAGTGTGTGTGTGTGTGTGTGTGTGTGTGTGTGTGTGTGTGCGCGTGCGTGCGTGCGCAGAGCAGCTGGCTTTCGTGTCCGCGGACTCCTCCCGTCGCGTGATGAAGTTCAGACGCGCGTCACCGGCTTTCGCACAGAGGAGGTTCCCGACGCGAGGAGAGGATGGAGAGACGCGCCACCCGCCACCGTGGGAGGCTTTAAACGTCGCGTCACGCGGAGACGATTTTTCTCTCTTTCACTTATTACGCGACGTGAGCAGTGACCCGGCCGCTCCGGCGTCGCCTTTTTCCCGTCCGCCCCCCGCAGTTGAGAGGCTCCGTGGGCTCCGTGGACCGTCGCGGTTATGTAGTTGTAGTTTGCTCGGACGAAGCCTTTTTCCCCCCCTGTTATTTTTTGGAGGAGGAGGGGGAATACATGGGATGTTGGCATGGCCACCTCGCGAGCACAGAAGTGTCCTAAGAGCGAGAAGTTGGACGAGGCGCAGGCTTTGGCCAAGAGCTGCGCGGGGAGACCGGACTTCCTGCCCTGCGACGGGCTCTCCATCTGCGCCACCCACAGCCACGGGAAGTGCTTCAAGCTGCACTGGTGCTGCCACTTGGGCTGGTGTCACTGTGAGTTTGTCTACGTGCTGCTTTTTTTTAATCCGAGGTGACAAGAATGCAGAAGCATCGCGGCACTGTTTGCGCAATGATTCCATGTTCGCCTCAGTGTTGCTAAATATCTTTTTTGTTAAAACTTCCGAAACGTATTTGGAGTCTAGTTTTGTTGGTGTAGCTTTTTGGAGTCATCGTTATCCTCCCTGCGAGGAGACGTCCGAGGGTCTCACATTCAGAAGCAGGGAAATAGATGTTCCACCATCCTGGGTGTTGTGTCGCTAGTTTCCTATTTCATTTGTGTTTTATTCGCAGCTCAAACTTCACTTCGTATTGAAGTCCAAACAGGCCTACAGCTGACACTGTAGCATATGCTTACCTGTTATGAATGTATCCGTCCATCTTACATCCTAATTATTACGGAGGTTATATTATGTAAAACCATCAAAATAATTGCACGGAAAGATATATAATGTCAGTTGAATGACGTCACTTTCATTTCTGCTTTTAAGGACACGTCTTGTGATGTCTTCCTCAATGTCGCAAATCAAGCAAAAGATGTAAAGTATTTGTGTTGGCTAAACCTGATGTATTTTTATGCTCCACTATTGTAACATCAACTGAAGATGTAGTTCATTATGAGCTAATACCAAATCCAAATACAGTGAATACACGTAAGCACCAAATGTGCATCAATGAGAGTGGAAAATAGTCCCCAACAAATACAACATTTATCCCCACAGTTGAGTAATTATTGCTAAAAACTACAGAGCCCAGCTGAGTATTTTGCACGTTTTATAAAGGAAACAAAATAGTGTAGCGATGTTGGAAAGTCCTGAAAGGTTAATGAACATTGTTGGTCTTTTGATGGGACTAATTAACAACAACAACAACAACTAATCCCATTTAGCATCATTCTTTGAGAAAAATCCTCCCATGTTGAGACAAAGTCCAGTTCATCAGCTGATATTCTTCAGTTTCAGTACCTGATCATGTTAACGTAATATAATTACGACACTGTTATCAATTTATATTGACTGTTGAATTGACCGTAAGAGACTCAATTGGACTGAAGTCTAAGCGCATCCTTCACCACCTCCTAAGACACCGTCTCTCCATTCGAGCCTTTCTCAACCTGTCACTTCCACGCCGCCGCAGAACTACAATACCCCCCCCCCCCCCGGAACCTGCGGGCGTGTCCGTCCCTTTGTGCTGCCTTAATTCATCACATCTCTGGCCGCTCTGAAAATCCTCAGATCAGCGTGAAACACAAACAGCCTCCACTCTGCAGCCCCCACGTCAGGGCTTATGGGTGTGCAACTGCACAAGTCACATTGTAATCTTTGCCATGTAATCATTGGATTTAGATGCCCTCTTCCGTCCAGAATGAGACCAGTGATTTCATATATCTGATGAGGCAACCCCCCCCCCCCCAAAAAAAAACGATGGCTTCTTCCTGGTTTTTATCATGAGCCAACTGGGATTTATGTTTCTCAGCAAAGCCTGTGTAGTGTTGCATCATTTGTAAACATTTAGTCTTGCGTCCTCTTTTCTGCTCTGAAATATTTATCTCTCTAAAATTCTAAAATCTCTCTAAAATGGATCTCTCTAAAAAATGTGCTGGTGAATGGACAAAGAAGAAGCCAGCCCGGTCATGAAGGAGATTCTCACCGCCTCTTCTCTTTTCCTCTGTAATTTTGCACCACGGGGAGAATAAACCAGTTTGGACTGCTGAATCAGGCAGAAACGGAGCACCTAGTGAGAGAAAGTATAGCAGCGCGCTTCTGCAAGGAGCTCACACCCTCTTCTAGACAATACATAATTGTGCCGGATGCAAAAGAGGGACATTTTGAAACCACCCTTATCTTGTCAGTTTTTAAATTAAACATTTCAATAATTGTCGTCTGGGTCGTACACTTGTTCTGAGGCTGATCATTGTGCATTCACCACAGGGGGGGGGAAGCATGCTACACTGCTTTTTTAATTACATTTTTAATAGGTTTCAAGGCAAACAAATACAAAAGGTCAATGTGTGGCATGTCGGCATTCCAATTCTGTAACACAAATTATTCCCGCTATCGTACCCTGTGGAGCATTGATTATGTGATATGATTTCTGGCTTCTCCTACTTCCTATGTGCTGTTGCAAGCAAGCAAGCAAAAAAAAAAAGTTCTGTTTGCTTTCCTTTCATTTGCTGCTTGCAGACTGCACATATTTGCGAGCGAGAGAATGAAAGCAATGCTCTGGTGGCCTTCCAGTGGTTTCCACTGAGTTGTAGCTTTGCAAAGCCGGCTGGCTGAGGAAAGGGGGAGAACTGGAGTTGGACGGACGCGGAGGCCCCTTTCCCCAGCTGGTGACTGCATCAGTCCAAGCTTCTCAGTGGTAATTAGCCGTGTTTTGAGTCACCGCCAATATGTCGTGTTCTGCTCACAGCAACACTGAAACCACCTGGTTTGAATATTTATTTTCTCTCTTTTTATCCTCCACTAACTGATTACAATTACAAGGCAAAGCAATGAATTACTCATTAAGGTAGTCTAACGCAGTGCAATGAGTCCTCAACATTGTTATCAGTCTGCTTGTTCTCTGCCAGCATCAATTTTGTGCATTACAAAGTGTGCTTCTCTCCTAGATGAAGAAAATAGGGATCGTTCTGTCCCACTTGCTCATCTCATCTGTCACGCCGTGCAGCTGTAGCATGCAACTATTTCTGAAGGGAATACGGAGGATTGTTGGTCAAAGTTCTGCCTTACGTCGATTGATTTGCTGACCAATTCTAAATTTTCCGCAGCGCTCCGTCATAAAAGGCTTTAGCTGTTATTATATAGAGGCCAGAGGGGATGCGTTTTGATTGGTGGTTCATATTTGGGAACCAGCATGCCGGAAACAGGGAAGTCAAACAAGTTTGACTGCAACTTCAAAGACGCCCGCTTGACTTCTCTAATACAAAGCCTCATATATCTTTGTGGCTTCACGTCTTTGTTGATGCCTTAGAACGAATATCCACATTGCAACGAGATTCCTTCCTCATAGAAATCCACTCGCTCAAACATGAAACCCACGCAGCCTAATTATTGTTTTGTGGGCAAACTAACACGGGACCAAATGGTTGTTGTTGTTGTGCTCATGTCACCTTTATGCCCGATGCTTTCCCTCCTCGCATGCTGTTGAATCTAAATGATTGGGTGTACATGCTCATCAAGCATTAGCGAAGAGAACAACAACTTACCCAAGGCGACACTAACAGAACAGAGCCGTTAATGTTATTAGTAACATCTGTGCTTTTCATACCAACTCAAATCGTCTGCTACAAAAAATGTATTTCTTCTGTAGATCCATAGAGCAGATTACTGGGAAGGAAGTGCATTTCTTAAAAGCTACTTTGGGGCTTGTGAGTATTTTATTGAGACAAACTCCCAACCAATCCTTTAAGGCATTTAAAGAGTTGCATTTCTTCCCCATGACCAAAGCCTTTTCCAACTGGCAGCCAGTCAGGAGCGGCTGTGTGCCTCTGGAGGCATGAAACAGGAAACAGGAAAGGAGTTCCACATGATGCTGGGTCGGACCGTCCCCTTCGTTGAAACCTGAAACCTCTCGGACGGATTTAAACCCAATGAGCAGCGGATGTGTGAGCGCAGCGTCCCCCCCCCCCACCTCCACCACCACCACCACCAAATGGGTGCAGCAGCTGTTGATAAACGGGAAACAGTCTACCGAAATGCGTTTGTTCACTTGATTTTGCCGACCTTTGAACCCGTTTGCTGCACTTAGAAGAAGATTCCATCAACGCAGCACATAAAGACGTCTGGCTTCCGCCCAAACGTACACAAAAAAACAATTTACGGGGGTTAATGACTCGGTTACTCCTGAGGCTCTCAAATAAAATGATGCGTCATGCTGATCATCTTTATTAAATGTTGAACTTGTCCACAGTAAAAATATATATATATATATATATATTTTTCTTACAGCTGCAATAGAAAGGATCTGAAATTTCAACAGCGATGCCAAGAGAGAGAGAGAGAGAGAGAGAGAGAGAGAGAGAGACCTTATCAGAGAGACTGTATTAAACTACTAGAACATGCAGCCGCAGCCCAGAGAGAGACCAGAGAAGATATGCAAGATGGAGGCCGATGGGAGATGGGAGGAGTTGCAGATACCCGTATTTTTGAGCTATGAATTTGAAAAAACGCTTTGAGATTCTATATACCCGTTTTTCAACCCATAAATACGGCCAATTAATTATCTCAAATGATTGATACAGAATTTCCCTAATTTTTATAACATTTATTTTATGTTGATTCTCTCTATCTTTAGACCAGTATCGTCATATTTCCGTTGACAAACCCCAAAACTGTAATTACAATCTCTACTACTCCTTTTATGTACCGGAACGCCTTCCACCTCGTCCAGTCCCCGAGCTCCTACATCCCCCAGGATGCCTCTCAGCATCCTCCAGTCAACGTCTTGCTTTCAGCAGCTTCTTATTCTAATGTGATGAAAGGCCACTTATAAAACAAGTATAAGGAGTCATTTTCTTTACACTAAGTGCAAAATGCCCCGAGGCTGCATTTTATTCTGTTCTATTGATGCCTGGCTTCCACTGGAGTGGATTTCTTACAGGAAGAGTGAAAGTGTAAAGTGGAGGCAGTGAAGCTTCTTCTTTTGATTCTGAAGCACTGACTCAAAATCGGTCTTCACTGCAGCTGGTTTAGAAATATCAACCAATGTTGTGTTATGTTGCTTGTTGTTGTTTTTTGTTGCTCTGCATCTGTCCGTCCCACAGTATTGCTCTTGGTTTTTGCAACTCCAGATGGATGGGACTTCGTTGTGCTAAAAACTAAATAGCTACACATTTGTGTGCCGCCATTGTGTCTGCCTGAGTGGCTTCATCCCAGTCCCAACATGGACCATTGGGTTTCTCTCATTAAACCGAGGACTGCTTACTCTCTCCCTCTTTTGACTGTATCGTAATAAGCTCATGTGTTTTGTGAACAGTGTTCTCAAAGAATACGGACATGAAGCCTCTTTAAATGGTTTCACATGGGTGGATAATGCAGTTTTGTCTCCTTAATGTGGTCAACTTAATTAAGTCAACCATTCTTATAGGCGGTTAATAGAGATTTAAGATGCGATGTCAACATTTTTCATTTGGACACATGTCTGAAAAGTCAGGGTCTATAGTTAAATAGCAATTGAGGCTTTGGCCCACTGATGAAAATGCGACATCTGTGTCTATGGTTATATTCCTGGACAGTCACACAATTCAATTTGTTTTTTCACTAGAAATGAAAATATGAAGTCAATTCTATGGCACGTGCCACGGTTTTCCCTTTATAACGCAACAAACAGTACTGATTGTCACTTTAGTTATACTCAGTATATCTGTGGTGGTGCAATGTCTCATCCTCCCAAAACAAAGCCCCTTCCATCCAATGAAAGAGGTTTTCAATGTAACCTGTGCAAAGATTTTGGTTGAATGGATCCGGCCAGTGAGACCAGGACACGGAGTGAGAGGAAGCGATGGGTGGTCCTGTCGTCTTCTGTAGTTTCTCTCTCTTTTCAGGGAGCGGGTTAAACACACATCTGAGAGTCGGAGGCGGTGGGCGGCAAACAATGAGTAACATTTGGAAGAATTCATTTTGCACACCAGCATGAAATATCACCACTAGTTTAGGTTTTGCCAAAAATGTGAGGCTTTACTCACATTGAGGGGGTTAGAACATTTGTATAAAAGTGGACGGTTTCCACAATGTTGGGGCCTTTATCTATATCTAGGATTAATATGACACCACATCACCACCATCGTAAGCCATTGTGTTAATAATACAGTTGTGAATCAAAAACATTTTTGTACAGATTTGTCATAATCCTAAATATTATATTGTCATGTTTTCATTACGCCTTGTATCAGTTTCACAGAGTTGAAAATGATTACTACACTACTGAGGAGGGCCTGGATTTAAATGATGTTACGCTCAGCTTCATCTCATATAGTGGTGGCAAGGCAGGTATTTTTTGGCCTTGGGCAACACAAAATCGTTTTTGGTGTGATAATTGCTTTAGCTACCAATTTCATTTCTTTAATTTCGTTTCTTACATGCACGCTATTCACTAGTGCCTCCCTCCCTACTCGGCATCAAAAACATTGTCCTTGGCCGAGACTGACTGAAAACAAATTACCTACTGATTCTACGACTAATATTTATTTGCTAGATACAACAAGCAATGTAATGGCTAAGGGCTTTACGCTTCATTGGAAGGATTGAAATGAACACAGCAGAACAGAGGATAACAGTTGGTCAAATGTATTTATATTTCCCTGCAAATCTTTTAAATCTTCACAGCTATGTTTGCTATCGTGCTGTCTGGATCCCTGCCAAATGTCTCTACGTGGCGCCAGTTAGGAGTTGACTCTTTTTATTGATTTGAACCGGCATTAAGTGTTTTTAAACAAGCTTCATTGACAGAAAATCCCCTTTTAAGTTGATGTGGGGAACACATTAGTCTCCAGTAATAGATCCAATATCCACTCTCCTTCAAGCTTCTTTTTGGCGTCGAACAATTCCGGAAATATGCGTCTCCTTAGCTCCAGAAGGCCAATACGTACACCTACTACTTGTTAACTGTGTCAGTTTGCTGTTTGGAAACATACGGCCAATTAATCACAGCCTTTTATTATCTTTTTTTCCACCCACTTTAGGCAAGTATGTTTACCAGCCCATGACCAACGTGTGCCAGCTGCCCACCACGGCCGTGCCAGCTGTTGGGACGGAGTACAGCGGAACCATGGACCTGTCCGTCGCGCTGGCCGAGCGCTTCCTGAAACTCGCCCCCTGCTTCCAGTCCCCGCCGCACCTGGAGTCGCCCAAGTACTGCGTGATTGCCGACCTGTTTGTGGACGACTACGTTGTCAAACGCATCAACGGAAAGATGTGCTACGTGCAGCGGCCCCCGCCTTCCATACCCGAACCTCCGCGTGCTTCCACACCCCCGGCGCCTGCGCCCTCCACACCTCGGGTGCCCCAGAGGCCCGCTCCGCCTCGTCAGCCGCTGAAGCCGGCGCCGCCGGCCCAACATGCGCCTTTTCAGCAGGTCCAGCAGGTCCAGCACGTGTACAGCGAACACAAACATCCTACCCCTGCGGATAAGATAAAAGGCCCCAAAATGGACCACTGCTCCTCCCCGTCCAGCTCTGAGGACTCCGGCATCAACGCGTTGGGTCTGCACTACCTGGAGTCCTGCGAGGAGGAGACAGAGGGGGAGGAAGAGGAGGAGGAGGAGGAGGAAGACGAGCTGAGCACAGGTGGGAACTCCAGTCCCGGCAGCGTGTGGGATCAGGACGACTGCTCTCTGCTCTCCCCTTCCAAGTCAATGATAGAGATCATCGAAAAGATTGAAACGACGGTGTAACCGACACAACGGGGACGTGGATGCCGGCTGTGAGCTGCAGAGGAGAAATAACGAGAATCACACTTGAGGATTTATTCCACGCGGACTAATGGGACACAAATCCCTCCCTGCTGTTCGGCAGAGCTCCGCTTGGTGGTTTGGTTGAATTTGTTTTGCGGCAGGTGGCCGCGGACTGTGCATCTAATCCGTCCGGCTCCCCTGCATGGAGTGAATTTATTACAATACAGAAAGCCACAAGCACAAGAATATTAAGCACATGCACAGTGGACCAAATACACCTATGCACAACAGCATTATTCAATAATAGGTGCACTTAACAGTCAGAAGAAAGTAAAAATTAAAGCGGGACATTTTTCTCCGATTTTTCTTTAGGCATATATTACTGGAGCGAAATTTTGTATGAACAAAGGCGGCATAAGTAGGTTTCCTGATGATAATACGCAGTTAGGCAATTCGCCATTCGTCAATCTGCCAGACAGACTTTATTCTTATTCACTCTGCAGATACGTAGGTCTGCCATTTCTTGTTCCTCTGGTCAATGGACCCACCCACACGTATTATTAATTCTTACAATCAAGCATAATAACTACAAGGCCAGCCGCCTCTCATGGGCCCAAAAGCAAATCAGCCCGTTAACCACTCAGCTCCGGGCTGCTGGGACACGACTGTCAGGTCGATAAAAGGCCCACAGTTTGTGTGCAACCTCACTGACACCAACACAGGCTGGAGGTACGAAGACAGGACAGTGTTCGACAATCAAGGATTACACAGAAGCACATTCATACACTGTTCCTGCCAGCGGGGGGCAAGGAGACTCTTATGGAACCATTCATCGGACATTAACACATTCTTCTGACAGCATATTCTGGTCAACCTGGTCTGAACTGCTGTGCTGTTCCAGGTTAAATGGGGCGTTAAGCAAAACATGACTTGTATTGACCTCTATTAGCATCCAGGAAATGAAATAGCAAAGACGTGTCTGGCAGAGTTACAGCGACAAAGCAGAGGTTGTTGCAGCGGAACATTAGAAGAGAGCACCTAGGGAAGAGGGAATATATATATATATATAATATATATTAACATATAGACTTTAAAATTAAATTGCTATTGGCTTTTTGGGTTCGATGGCGAGATTCCAGCTGAGAGTCTCGAGGTAACGTTGTGCAGGATTGAAAGCTATTTTATGTTAAAGTGCAAGAAATCTCACTTAGAGCGCCTTTAAAGGAGGTTAATGTATGGAATAGAATGATGTTGTGATGTGTTATAAGAAATACACTCAAATATAATACTTGTCAGACAGACCCTCATTAGTCAGTTAGTAGAAGGAAGATGAGTTGGGTCTTTTAGGAAAATTGTTTTAATGTTTCAACTGTTATTTTTATTTCCTGGAGAGTTATCTGCAAAAACCACTAAAATCTTCACAAACATGTACTGTTACAATGAAATGCTAGATGTAAAGAAAAAAAGAAGGAAAAAGATAATTTTGCATGACTGCATTCATTTGCTAAAGTCCCTCAAGTAAAAACACAATTTAACAAATTTATGGTTCGGTGTTGAAACGTAAACAAATCTGTCAAATGTCTTTTCCTTATTCGGGAACAGTCCTTGTCATTACACTCAAGACAGTCCCTCTGTAATGCATCAAAACATATGTTATGTTCTCACTATTGTCATATTATTTTCATATGAATAAATCCAACTGATACTCACACTTTTTCTCCTTCGATTTGTCTTTTGTAGTCATTGCAGAGCATTTTCTGCAAAAGAAAGTTCAAATCTTTCCTTGCATAGCGCCCAAAGATCCTTCTCCTGACACACAGATGACTAATGCTCTCCACAGTTTGAGTGGAGAAGCAAAGCGAGAGATAGATTGAGTCATCACTTCAACTCTGTTTTCTTTTCACCTTTACATTTTTTTTATGAATGTTCTTTGTTTTTGATTCTCTTCCTTGCAACGTTTTCTCTCTTGCACGGCAATGAAAAATCAAGATTAGAGCAGGAAAAAAAGAGAAAGAATTGAGGCCGTACTTTATGCTGTGTATGGTGTAAGAAATGCAATGTGGGTTAGAGTCCTCCACCTCTGACTCCTGTTGACCCAAACCAGCTATGTCCCGTGTGTCTCTGCACCACACAGTCTTCATCCAGCAGCGGACTTTGTGAGAGACCATCAATGCACCTCTCTCCCCTTGACTTTGAGCCCCAGATTGATTTCTTTGTGCTTCTCTTTTTCCGCTTCATCGCGTCTATCGACTATTTGTACTCCGAACCAAGGCCGAGATAAGATCTTGACTTTTTTTAATATTATGTATATGCAGTCGATACCCGGCTGCATGAGGAGAAGGTGTGTGCCAACTGGAGAGCCTGGATGACAGCAAAGAGTGAAAGTGTGAGTATGGAAGCGACAGGCAGAGGAATCTCAATTAACGACGATGATGCAAGCACATGAAAATACTTTGCACGGACTTGCCGCGCGCGGGTGTGTGTGTGTGTGCGTGCGTGTGTGTATGTGGGAGAGCAGACACACAGACTTGCATGTAGTTCAACATCCAGAAATAGTTTTTTCAAGCGCTACTGACAGATTTCATGAAGAGATAGATTGCTGTTACTGTTAATCCCTCACAGCAAAGTCATTCAACTGGCAGGCACCTTGAGCACTGCAGAACCTGCTGACTCTCTCTCTCTCTAACTCACACCACACACACACACACACAGACATACACATACACAGTACGATACACGGCAAATCAAAAAGCGCCCTTGTTCAAGGACTGTTGTGGAAGCGTGGTTGGCACAGTCACACAAGCGGTAGAGAGATGTTGTCAGCTCCTTCTTTTGATTTGCCTATGCAGACAGATTAGCTTCCTCCGGGGTTTTCCTTTTAATTTCACATAATTGCGCTTTCTCTCCAGTTGCCCTTTATCGCTAGAACTCAAATACTCAGACTAAGATTTTAGTGACTAAATTAAAACGCGTAAGAGCGTAAGAGAGGCTTCAGGCTCGATCAATTTAAAGCATTCTCTCTAGGAAAAATGTTGAATATTACACCTTGTTCATTTGATTTAGTAAATCCATTCTATTACGTCTATTATGTTTTGAAAAGCTTCTCTCTGAAAAACGAACCTATTTACACATTCAAGGTATTTAAGAGAATATGATGCTTTGCATTTAGCAAATGACGGTAATTTGGGATTTTCAATTGAAATCAACTGTCTATTTAATGCCAAATACTGTAAGCGTGAAGTAAAAACACTGGTAAGAAACATTACATTTTTACCCCAGTTGTGTGACGCCATCATGCGAACGTCACGCAGCTTCAAAGGAGAGCTGATACAAGCTGACAAGTGAAGAACGTGAATCCGTCAAACGGAAGGCAGCGCCAAAAAAACTAATTTGACCAACTTCAAAGTAACCTTGAGGGGAAAGTTAAAAGTGGCAACCAGAAGTTACAGGGTTAATTTCATTTATAATTTGACGGTGCACCTCACGGATATCCGCTCCCTTCAGGGAACCTGCACCATATTGCATGCAGCTTCCTCACACAGCCCCGTCTCTAATGTGAGACATCCGGAGCCAAACCGCAGCACTCCATCAAAAAGGCTCATTTACATGTCCAATTCACAGCAAACTGTCCCCGTGATTGGCCTGATGCAGGCGGTAAGCAGGCAGCAGCGGGCCGCTGATAAACAACCAAACACCTGCGATGGGTTTCTGATAAGCTCCATAAACGCCGGAGCGTCACCCGGAGAGCAGCTCTGCGCTCCCCGCCTTTAAAATATTCATTACTTTTTCCCGTCACCGTCTGCCCTCGTCTTTGAAATGGATTTGAGAGCGCTTTACACAGAGCGTGACTTCCCCCCCCCCCCCCCCCGCCAACTCCAGGCTACGGCTTCAAGTTCTTGTGAGGACAGACAGGTTCTGTGTTTGTTGCCCCTTTGTCGCTCAAAGCCTCTTGGTGACTCATCCTTTCTGCTGAAGAGCTGGCGAGGCCTTTGTGCGATGGCAGAGTGACTCACGGTGATGTACAGTAACGTGATTAGTTGGCTTTGTTGCTGAGTATTAGGCTGTAATAGATGGGGATTCTTAGAGAAAATGCTGGATGAATGATGACTTTTCTTTTCCGTTTCTCACAATCAGATGGTTGTTGATTCAACCGGTTCAACAATCATCAATAATAAAAAGCTTACTTTCCGGCAGTTTTTGCGGTTTTAATAGTGGCCCGTTGGCGGAGTATTTCCTTGTTTTTTAGCTCTGAGAAAAAGCGTGAATCCCATCTTAATCACATCAAAGAGTGGGAGGGTGTCGGGAAGCCCTGCGCCGCTTTACCACTTGAAGGCAGGTTCTCCTCCTGTGTTTCCAGTTTGCTAAATCTTTTCTCCAAAGACTTTTATTCGGAAAACAGGAAAAAGGGGCCCCCCCGTCATGAGGAGTGGTCATATGTGTCCTCTGTGCACACTTATCTGCCTTGTTGGGAGCTGAACATGAGAAGAAGTATTTTATTGTGGAAGGAGACCAGGGGGGGGGGGGGGGGGTTGATACACGTTCTTGAGTAGCTCATTAAGATACTGAAAATTTCATTATAACATTAATTATGCTGACAAGAGAGTAATTATCTTTCTTTTAATCCTCACACGGCACTGAAATAAAACACAAGTACCTAAATTCAAAGGTCAGTACACCTAAAATGTCTAAGACTCCAATGGGGAACAGAAGAACTACGATATTGATTCATATCACTTCAACACACAAATCTTGAGAAATAATGGAATTACAGGGAAATTACAGATGTGACATTGGGACTCTGTAAATTCTTCATCTGCACCAGTCGAGGGTAAATAAGCATCACAATATAAATTGACATGATTGGCAGCTCCAGGCCCCTCCCACAACACTTTGGACAGATGTGGCCCTCGTCTGCGGAGTATTTTATAATGCTGCTGCTCAAAAATACCATTGTTCTCCACCGTTTAATACTTTCTAAAAGCTTTCCCAGAATAGAGGAACAGAAGTAGGCCAGTACTGCACCCAGATTGCTTCCAGCAGACGACTGAAATCATATGAGACGCCAGCCTTCCAAAACTAAAGGCCGAGTGCCCGTCCACCTTAAAAAAACACTGGTTTCGGGGGAATTATTCCATTACGAGATCTTGGCCACCACAGCGCCCCAGGATGAGCTTTGTGGATGCATTAATGTGCGTGGAGATCTTGCAGAAAATCTCAGAAACCCTTTATCCTGTAAGTCAAGTATGAAAAGCAACGACGACCGTCATAGCACTTGAAAAGGTTCTTTATGTTTCTAAAATGTCAGACTGTGTGACTTTTTACTAATCACACGCAATAATCTAGTGTTTCACACTTGGTTATCCAGGAGCTTGTTCTCGGGTATTTTCTTATTTCGCTTTCGGCGGCTAAAGTTACAAAACACGCGTGTCAACAAAATATTCCACACTGACGATCACATTATTTCACGGCCTTCTTTCCGTGAACTTATCAACAGCTTCCCATCTGTTCCATCTGAATAATTATACACAAATACTGAAAACAGTCTGAAGTTACTCTGTATTCCAGCTGCTCCAAATCTCACAACTAACACATATCTGACTGTGATGTGCGGGACGCTTGTCAGCATACATGTATTTGCTGTGGTTACCAGTATACTTCAATCACGGCTCCACTGTAGGAGGTTATCCTTGTGCTTTTTTTGCTTCTTTCTGGATGACTTTAGTTGCAGTCCACCCACACCGACCTTTGTATTGCATCTAAATAGAGGACATTACACCTACACCGCACAGTGAGAGTGTGGGTGAAAAAGGTTGCTCGTGACCTTGAATCCTGCTGCTAGTGACACGACGGGCTGATGAAGGTGCGTTACACGCAGACATCACACACAGTTAGCTGGTACATTTAAACTCAAAACACGCATCAAAGTCCACAAACAGAAGCTAAATCCTAACAATAATAACAGACTTCTGTCCGCCCACCATCTGAAAATCAACCCCGACAAGACTGAACTACTTCTCTTTCCCGGAAAGATTTGCTTACCCAGGACCTGACAGTCAACTTTGGGAACTCCGTACTAACGCCCACCTTGACCGCTAAGAACCTCGGCGTCACACTCGACAGCCAACTCTCCCTGACTCCCAACATCACCGCGACAACGCGATCCTGTAGATACACGCTCTACAACATCAGGAGAATACGTCCCCTTCTCACTCAGAAGGCAGCGCAGGTACTGATTCAGGCTCTTGTCATCTCCCGCCTGGACTACTGCAACTCCCTCCTGGCAGGTCTCCCTGCCACCGCCATTCGACCTCTGCAGCTCATTCAGAATGCAGCAGCTCGACTGGTCTTCAACCTTCCGAAATTCTCCCACACTACTCCACTCCTCCGCTCTCTTCACTGGCTACCGGTGGCCGCCCGCATCCAGTTCAAAACATTGGTGCTCACGTACCATGCTGTGAATGGATCGGGTCCAGCTTACATCCAGGACATGGTCAAACCCTACATCCCAACCCGCACTCTCCGCTCTGCATCTGCAAAACTACTCGTCCCTCCCTCACTGAGAGCAAAACACTCGACTAGGTCTCGACTCTTCGCTGTCCTTGCGCCGAAATGGTGGAACGAGCTCTCTGAAGACATCAGGACCGCAGAGAGCCTTCACATCTTCCGCCGCAAACTAAAGACACACCTCTTCAGACTCTACCTCGACTAAAG